GTCAAAAACTTTTAAGACTGTATGCAGCTAACTAAAGAGAAAGTAAGCGTGGCAAAAATGATTTGTACATCTCCAGCAAGAGTATAAGGGTACTTATTCTACTATTCTTGAAACTTTTCTGAGGTTTGTAATTTTTCAACACAATAAGTTGGGAGAAAAAAAATTAAGACTATAGATGGAGAATTTCAAGATATTTTTAAGTCAACTTCAAAGTGTCATTTTCCCTTGTTTCATATTGAAATAGCAAGGCTGTCTCTCTCATGGATAGAAAAGGTAACAAACTAAAGGCATAACCACCCCCCTCCAATTCCAGAGAAGAGAGAGATCTCATTTCTCTCCCCTTCTGAGGGCTTCTGCACAAAAGGTAAGACCAAGTCATAAAAGACAATCATTCAAGATCTCCAGCAACTCTGAGAAGGATTTTTCTTTATATGGTTATACTAATGCCAACCTGAACATGTCATGTTCTCCTATTAAGTCCATAGTGAACTGACTCACCAGAGTAGGACTTTAGTCATGATAATATTATGTGCCTCCATTATCCCTTCTCCTCAAATATTGGTATTATAAAGCAGGTGCCTCATGGTTAAATAGCAGAGAAATTCCCAAGAGTAAGACATTCTAATTTACCCACTAAACAGAGGTTGGTTAACATTAACCAAGTGGATATATTATGAACATCCTGTTCAAAATCCTCACAAAAATCCTGAGTGGTCATCTCAATTTTGCAGATAACATTCACAAGTAAAGTAACTCGCCCAAGGTCACACATAAGCAGCAGGGCTAAAATGCAAGCCCAGGTCTGTCTTTCCCTAAAGTCCACGTTTTTGCCACATTATCAACTATATCCTATTTGTGTGAGTAACCTACTTCCCATTCTATTGAACCAGTGTGTCTTTCCTTGTAGACTCCCACCCCTACTGAGTTTCAATGTCAAGAACATTTAATACAAAGTTTATAAAGATATTCAGTACATGGTTGACCCTTGAACAACAGGGGTGTTAACATGCCTCATCTGCAGTTCTTCCGTATCAGCAGATTCAACCAACCACAGATCGTGTAATACAGCATTTACTATTGAAAAATATCTGCATATAAGTGGACCCATGCAGTACAAACCCATGTTGTTCAAGCGTCAGCTGTATAAAGTGAAAGTTTTTGTCATTATTATTAACCCTCTGATGGCTTCTCACTCTCAAGCCTTTCCTGGAAGCCGTTGATTCCCCTCTGTTGATTTATGAAGGCAACGGAGACAGACCCCAGACTCCACAGTGACTGAGAATCCACAAAAGCAGCTTCCTGAAGAAGGTATGTTTCTCAATGTTAGCAGGTAATAGAAAGATCTCTGGATGGCCACTGAGGGGCAATGACTAGATGCTAAATAATGAAAAATGCAGTACAAAAAAGCTGGTCTGGGCTTCCCTGGTGGCGCAGTGGTTGAGAGTCCACCTGCCGATGCAGGGGACATGGGTTTGTGCCCCAGTCCGGGAAGATGCCACATGCCACGGAGCGGCTGGGCCCGTGAGCCATGGCCGCTGAGCCTGCGTGTCCGGAGTCTGTGCTCCGCAACGGGAGAGGCCACAACAGTGAGAGGCCCGCGTACCGCAAAAAAAAAAAAAAAAAAAAAAGAATCCTCCTGCCAATGCAGGGGACATAGGTTTGATCCCTGGTCCGGAAAGATCCCACATGCCGCGGAGCAACCAAGCCAGTGCACCGCAACTACTGAAGCCCACGCACTCTAGGGCCCGCTTACCACAACTACTGAGCCTGTGTGCTGCAACTACTGAAGCCTGTGTGCCTAGAGCCCATGCCCTGCAACAGAAGAAGCCACGGCAATGAGAAGCCCGCACACCACAATGAAGAGTAGCCCTCCCTCGCGGCAACTAGAGAAAGCCCGTGCGCAGCAACAAAAACCCAACACAACCAAAAAAAGAAAAAACAAAAACCAAAAAACATCTAACACACGAAGGAAGCCAAGAAGTGGCTGGGAATAAACCTCCAGTCTAATCACCTCTACTTCACACCACCACGGAAGGTATTTCAAATGTGGGGAAGCTGCATTTCCTAAAAGTTTCCCACTATCAATCAGGTTTCACTTTGCTTAAGCTCACACAGCGACATGAAAGAACCTAGGACATGAATGCCTAGTTGTGGTAAGTATCCAACAAATGTCATACAAGTTAGCCCTGGTTTTTTAATAAGTTATTTAACACCATAAATGTTACCATCTAGAGAGGTCAAAAGACAGTATTTTGTTAAGGAAAAGTATTTCCTCCACTGTGCCAGGCAGTCACGGGCATATATAAATCACAGACTTCAAACTGGAACGCAGTTCATCAGGTTCACTTCTTTTTTTGGCTGTGCTGTGTGGCGTGCGGGACTTTAGCTCCTCAACCAGGGATGGACCCCAGGCCCCTGGTAGTGAGAGTGCTGAGTCCTAACCACTGGACTGCCAGGGAATTCCCAGGGATCACTTATTTCTTGAAACTGAGAATAAAGGGTTTTTAATCTAAACCAATAGATTTTCTACTTCATGAGACCCTCAAAAACATGACATTTATTTACATGAATCTAAAGTACATGTGACTACCATAGACTGGACTTGATAAAATACGTTAATTTCAAATTCTCTAAGCCAACCAATCCAATTTTCAGAAATTACTGTTTTCTTGAACTTTAAAAATGTACTTAGAGTATGATTCCATTTCTATAAGTTTCTAGGAAAATTAATCTAGTGTTAGGTTAGTGGTTATTTGAGGGGTGAAAACAGTGACTACGAGGGGGCTTTCTCCTCTACCAGTAATGTTCAGTTTCTTGACCTCAGTGCTAATTACACAAGTTGGTTTCACTGTGTGAATACGTAAAATCTGTTATTTCCCTCTAACTATGCTTCAATTACGAATACATATATAACTTGTTTGTAAAATCTGCTATTTCCCTCTAACTATGCTTCAATTACGAATACATATATAACTTGTCTGTCACAGAGGATCTGAAAACCACCCCTGTTATTTTTTGAAACAAAAAGAAAAACTAACTTCGACCCACCAATATTAAAAGTAAAAATTTTGAAACCACAAAATCCATTTTAGCTGTCTCAAAAAGGCCTAACCAAGATTTGAAGCAGGCAAGTTCTCACAGGATTTTAGAGCTGGCAGCTAATTTGATCAGCATATAGAAGGGCCACCATCAGAGGAATAGGCACAATCCATTAGAGTCCTAATAAGCATATCTAAAGCACAAGAGTACTGTGATGCTGTTTTGGGGCTAAAAAACCCCCAAACATACAGTATCTATCCCTTGAGTTATCTAAGCACATCTGTAACCAGACCATACCTTATTTGCATTGCTTGAACTCTTAGGCCGCTGTAATCAACTTCTTTTTGCTCAAATTCTTTCCACTCATCTTCATCCTGTAAAACAGGTACCACTTAGTCAATTAAAGCTATTTGTAAAAACACAACTAAGACAACTATCAGACTATGAAAAAGGGATGAATCGGCTGGAACCTAAAGTGTGGACTCGTTTTCTGGCCAAAGCCCTTGCTCAATCCCAAGGCCAACTAGGCTGGAGGACAAACGTGAGTAAACTTTACTTCCACCGCGTTCCTTCATGAAACCTGTTACTTTAAAAGCAACCAGGAAACGCCAGATGAAATCAACAGGAAGCCCACAACTAAACGTCTAGCTCAATCTTGCCATGAGACTTTTCTTTTACGGGCTTCGGGACCAAGTTGTGCCAGTTAGAGATGCCACAAATGTGATTGTTAGAAAATTCAGCTCAGACTACTGGTCTGAAATCAGAACGCTAAATTACTCAGAGTAGACGTCATTCGATAGATGCACTTCCGACCCGGGCCGATTCCCCGGGAGGGTGCCGCCGCCAGCTTGCGTCCTCGCCCGAGCCAAGCGCCGCGGGTCGGGAGCGGGGTGTCGGGGGTCCAGCGGGGAGCGCGAGGCGGCCCGCCGTGGGAAGCCCGCGTCACGTGGCAGCCTCCGCGCCCATCAGCCCGCCAGCCGGGCCCCAGCCGCCCCTCCCGGCCGTTTCCCCGGGCAGGCAGGCAGGCAGGCGGGCGGGGGCGGGCACATGGGCGCAAGCGCGCGGCCCGGGCCCCGACTCCCAGTCTCCCTGGCCCCTCACCTTTGTCACAACCTTGGTGGCGGCCCCGGGGCCCGTGGCCCCCGCGCCCGCGGTCCCGCCGTCGCCCGGCCGGGTCCCCGCGCCCGCCCCACCGCCCGCCGCGCCCGCGGCTCCGCTGCTCCCGCCGGCGACGCCCGCCGAACCCGCGGCGCTCGCCGCCCGGTTGCTCCGCTCCTTCTTCTTCTTCTTGTCTCTCTTGGCGAAGAAGTTGTCCAGGCTCCGCTCCTCCATCTCAGCCATGGTCGCGGCCTCCTCGGCCCGGATGGGTGGGGCCGGCAGCGGGCGCTGCCCGCGGGGCTCCGAGCTCGGGGTCGAGGCCGGCTCGGCGCTCAAGCTCCCGGGCGCGGCGACGCCTCAGCCCCGCAGGGTCGCCGAGGCGTTTGCGGCGGGGCGAGCGGCTCCCCCCGCGTGCTGGCGAATGGTGGTACGGCCCTCCTCGGGGCTCGCGAGCCGCTGCCGCCGCCCCGCCCGCCCGGGCTGCAGCGACAGCGGTGCAGGATCCCGCCCGCTCCGCAGCCGGAGGGCAAAGGGAGCGTTCGGGCCAGAGGTTCCAGCGAGAGTGGTAGGCTAGCGGCGGCGCGTGAAGGAGGAGGACGCGCGCACGCAGGCCCAGAGAGGAGGGGAAGGGGGTTGGGGAGGGGAGGGAGGGGGAGGAGGGCGGGCGGGCGGGCCCCCAGAAGAGAGAGGCAGCACCCACGCCTGCGTACTTAGCTCCGCCCGCCAGTGTGGGAGAGTGGAGGGGAGGGCGGCGGGAGGAGACGGAGGCGGGGCTGGAAAAGGAGCCAATCAGATGCCAGAACGAAGTGCTTTGGCGACCATCCCTGTCTCGGACGGGGCGGGGCCATGGCTTGGGGGCGGGGAGATGGTATATGCTAAATGTGACGTACCTGATGACTCTTGCCTCCCGATTGGTCGAAGGTTTAGCCTTGGGGGCGGGCATTTAGAGGGCTGGTTGGTGACTTGGCTAAAGAGGTCCGGTCGAAGGGGCGGGTAGGTCCCGTCTGGGCGCATGCGTACGATACACGTGCGTCTGCTCGTCAAGGGCCAGCTGGGGCCTTCTAGTCGTTTGAACTTTAGCGAGACGGAAAGGCCCTGTGTTAAGCTAGCTATGTTAAAGATGGTACCATCCGCTCTGCTGGCCTCTGTACTTTCACCCTCTCTGGTCTGGCAACTATTCATTTTCATCGTAGGGGATGATTGTTATGAAAGTGAGGAGCAGTGGCCTTGAAGTTTAGTTCTCATTTACTAAAAGATCTTAGTAAGCCAGTAGGTAGTTAAAAGGAGATTGGTTTTATCTATTGGTTTTATCTATACTCCACCCTCTACTAGATATTGATATATCTACCAAGGTCAAGCTAAATCTGACCCTCAAGCTCCTGATCTGTAAAATGGAGATGTTAGCTCTTGCAAGATACTTGGGGAAAGAGTACCTCTTAGTTGCAGTGCTTAATACACATTGGATGCGATAAATGATTTTACATTTAAATAGTATCCCCTGCCCTGACGAGATGATGACTGTAATCTATCTTTTTTTTTATCCCTGATAAGAGGAGGGGAATGGCATACCATAGTAATGGGGACCAAATGTGCCCATGCTATACGTGGTTGTCCCATTTAAGTACCTTTTTGGCCTTGAGAATGAAATGAATCCTTGCATATGAAAAAGGGCCTCTAATGTAAGGTATTAAACTTTCCACTTCCTCCTTCTAAAGACAGAGAACTGTCACAACCACTGAGGAAATGACTCAGACTTATGTTAGTAGCCTTGTGGGGTAGATAGAGCACAGCCAGTAAATGGAGCTACTTCTTGGTCTTTTCCTTTACTTTTTCTGTTAAAGTTTGTCTCCCCCATGCCCCCTCCACCTACACTATTAACGTACTTAGCCTAGAATATGTCAAAGAAGCAAATCAAGGGCCTGGCCTTGGCCAACAGCAAGCTTTCGTATAATTCCGCAAACATAAACTGCCCTCAACCACCTGGGATGGGTCTCTAGGTAACTTCCTTCTGTGACACCAGGTATCTTCTTGTGATGCAGGCCAAGTTCAGTATTGCCCCTCCCCCACCTTCCTTAACATCTCTGATCAAATTTCTTTTTCTTCCTTTCTCTCCCTCCCTTGCTTTCCTCCTTCCTCCTTCCCTTCCTTCCTTTTGTTCTTTCTTTCCTCATCTGTGAAGGACCTATTTAGCTATATTTAAGGCAATGTGCTTTGTTCCAGGCAGAGTAATTTGTCATTCCTGCCTTCAACTCCGTTATAATCTAGAAGAAAAGATCTAGATATGAATAACTGAAATTCAGTCCTCCTTTTCTTAGGTCCCCATCAATGTATCCGTGTCTTGAAAGAAGTAATGATGGGAAAAAAGCAGAGAAGGTACAGCAGTTGAGGGTTAATGCAGTAAAATTCTCTACTACATCTTTCAGTGTGATTGATGGCATGCTTCCCAAACTTGATCATATGTAGAAAACTCAGGTCAGGCCAGTAGAGAGACAAGGGTCTTTGTGGTTGTGTCATTATCTGTAGTTAATAGTCTCCCGCATGGAGCTGGTCTCCTCCACTTTGAATCCCCTGACCTGAAACTGACAGCATATATTCCTACCAGGTTTTCCTCTTAAATCTCCCTTGCTACCCTCCTCCAGATGGGTTACACAGAGCCCTGAATCCTCATCTTCACCCCGTCCTCATCATGAAGCATCATCCAGCTCTCTCGATATTTGGACCTTCCCCATCTTTAAAGCAAAACAGACCTTCATTTGTACTCGGTAGATGGAAAGTTGAATAGTGGCAAGCACTCGGAATATTACCAGGTATTTCAGCACATCTTCTAAGTATCCTAATGCTGTCTGAATGTGGAAATTTCTCTCTGAGTCCTCTGAAGTGGTATAATCCAAAGGACATCATTTATCTCCCTCGACAAGGCCCACTGAGCTCCAATATTCCATGAGCTCAAGAGCTGGCACAGGGCAGCTGGGCCCAGCCCCATTATCCCTGGGCTCTTTTTTGCTGAGCTATTCATTCCAAGTTCCATTCTGCTACCTAGGCTGGAAATTCCACACACGCTCAGCTCAAAAGAATGCAGCTCATGCTGGCCAAAGACTTGCCAGGAAATGGGGAGTAACTTTTCATTTGTGGCTTCCTCTCTCAGATCTGTGAGCTACTGCCTGGCCTGTTCCACTGACGACCTTTTCCAATTGGGGAGCAGCTACTTTCAGGTCACTTCCTCTGGTGAAACCTCTACTGACTTCTACAGGCAGCCTGGTTCCTGACCTTTAAAGGCCCAGAGACCTTTTGTTTGGTATGGGTGTTTGATGCTTTCCTGGTATTTGCATGATTTGTTGTTTAACTATTCATCCACTCATTAACTCATTCATTTATGTAAAACATTTATTTAATGAGTACCTACTGTATGCCAGGCCTGATGTTAGGAGTTAAGTATAAGTCAGATATAGGCCCTTCCCTCACAGAGCTTACTGTATGGTAAACTGGTAGCCAGAAGCACACACGTATACATACAATTATAGCACATTGAAAATGTAATAGGGGCTGGGCGGGTGCGCAGCCCTTTGAGCCTGGGTTAGAGGTCCACTCCACCAACAGCCTTGCAGCGGTCCTTGCAGCAGAGAGTGCGGTGAGAGGGGGATCACGGCTTTCTCCCTGGGACCCTCCAGGTCCTCCGGCCTCGGGGCCAGCAGGTGAGCTGGGGGGCCTGGGGACAGGGCTGTGTACTGCGGGGCTCCAGAGTCCTCGCCACGGGCACCCATTGGCCAGGCCCAGGCCTTGAAACAGCCGAGAACCTCTCCCTCATCCCCACTTCTGTGACCTAATGGCAGCGGCTGTCTTCTGCAGGACCTGGCCCCCGTTTGGGCGGCTTGAGGAACCTGAGGGCCTGTGGGGTCCTGTGCGCCTTGCCCCCTCAGTGATGAAGGCTGGGCAGGGTCTGGGGACCTGGCCCTGAGGGCGCCGCCAGCTGAGATCTGCCTCTTCAGCCCGGCCTGGGCACTGAAGGGAGGACCCAGACTGGGTGCCGGACAAATGCTCCTGGGCAGGGTAACCGGCCTATGCAAGGACCCCCTCCCCTTAGCCAGGGCCTGGACCTTGGAGGGCGAAAGTTGAGCCTTGGAACCTTGCCCTTTCTAGGTAGAACAGAGGATAACATTTGTTTTGGTGGAGGTTTACAGGAACATGGTGACCTGACCTCAAGAACAAAGGATCTGACACCAAGAAGTTTGCAGCAACTAACCATGCCTCTCTCTTACCTTTCCTATAAAAGAGCTTTGCTGAAAGCTTTTGGGGAGTTTGGGGTTTTTAAGGCATGAGCCACCCCTCTCCTTGCATGACCCCGCAATAAACCTTTCTCTGCTCCAAACTCTGATGTTTTGGTATTGTTTTGCCTCACTATGCATTGGACACACGGCCTTGTGTTCGGTAACAAAAACACTTGAAGGTAAGAATGGTGTTGGGCATACAGCCTATGTCACAGAGGCATTTGACCGAAGTTTGTAAAATGTCTCCACTAGTCTCCAGTTTTCCACATTAACAGGGGATTGCACAAACCATGGACTATCTAAGTGTTCCTTAACATCTTTCCTTGTTGGCTTTGGAATACATAGTCAGTCATGTGTAGCCAAAAATTTGACCTTCTTCCTCAACCTCAAGTCCCTCGTTAGCTTGTCCTTGACATTAAGGTTCTAGTTGGAGGATAAATGGTTAACAAGAGGAATGAGGTCCCAGACACCAGTGGCTACCCAGAAAAGCCTGTTTCCAGAAAGAGGTAAAGGGCTGCCATGCATGACCCTGCACCCCCCCCATATATAAACCTACCACCAAGGCTTGCAAAAGGGAGTTGGACTCATTAAGCCCACCCCTAGTGGATCAGGTCTGCTGTTTGTTGAACCACACGAAATTGCAGCTATCTGTTTTTTAACCTACCAAAATAGCAGTTCCATATGGTTCAACCTAATATATCTGAGAATAAACAAAAAAATGAATTATGTAAATCTGAGAATAAACAAAAAAATGAATTATGTAATGAATGAAGTAATTATGTAATGAATGAAGTAATTATGTAAATGAATGAAGTAATTATGTAATGAATGAAGTAATTATGTAAATGAATGAAGAGCTTGGGAACAACCAACCCACCCATTAAGGTGATGTCCTTGATGTAATCTTAGGGGGGAAGGGCTGGAATGTGATGACAGTTGAATAATCAGCAATCTAATCAATTGTATTCTATGGAGAATGCATGAAACAAAGAGAAAGAATGAGGCTGGCATATAGAAAGAGGAAGGAAAAAGAAGTAGGGTAAAGCCAAGAGGCTAGAAGTTGGCATTTATTACCTACCACTGTCCAGGAAAGAGCAACATGAAATTGGAGCTCACACCGTACCCTGCTGTGAGGTGGAGATGACTCTCCAAACCCCACCCTGACTTGGACTACATCTGCCTCCCTTAACTCACCAACCAGCCTGCTGTTGACTGATTTGGCTACCAGGGATTGCTTATATTGGGAAAAGGGTGCTCTGGTTGAGGGAGGAGACAGCCAGTTACTGGAGGACTAACACCAACTGTTAATGAATACATGGGCATCTGGTTATATACTTCAGCCTCCTATGAGTTGGATTGTTGGGAGTCAGTCTTCTCTAGACAGACAAACCTCAGGACACTGACTTGGCTGTGAAACAGTTTCAGCTCTGTGGTAAATTGATCAAGGTAAAACTACCCTGGGTGGCCTCTTTGGGAGCCAGTCAGATGACTCTGGCACAATGCAAAACCTTCTGACTCAATCGTTTTGATCATAGAGTGCAAGGATATAATTATGTTGGCAAGGTACCATTATCCTATCCCTGACCTTAACTCCAATCCTAATCCTATTTCATGACCCAACAAGTAAATGTGAAATTGTCTGACATTTTCTGCTTCTGAATCAGAGCCAGCCCAGTCTTGGTTACCAAGTCAGCAGGTCAATAGTACTGTCATCCTCCTTGGACTAAAAAAGCAGGAAAAGGGTGAGGGTGTAGGGAGCCTAGAGAGAGCTTCACATACTGAAGGCAAGTCCTTTACATTCTCACAAGCACCTTGCTCTTTACTTCATGATCAAGCACCTGTTTTTTTGCGGTACGCGGGCCTCTCCCTGTTGTGTCCTCTCCCGTTGCGGAGAACAGGCTCTGGACGCGCAGGCCCAGCGGCCATGGCTCACGGGCCCAGCCGCTCCACGGCATGTGGGATCCTCCTGGACCGGGGCACGAACCCGTGTCCCCTGCATCGGCAGGCAGACTCTCAACCACTGCGCCACCAGGAAAGCCCCAAGCACCTGTTTTCTAAAGTCAGACCTGGACTCAAATCACAACTCTGCCTCTTCCTTGCAAGTCACTTAGCTTCTCTGCATCTCAGGTTTTTTCACCTGTAAAGTAAGGATGATAAACACACCTGCCTTGTGGGTCTGTGAGGACTCAATGAGAGGATGGAATTGAAGCCCACCCAGCTCAGTGTCTGACAAATAGTCATCCCAGTTAATGTTAGTTATTATTATTAATAGTATTCATGTTATTACTAAGGCATGTAACATGATTTATAGTTGCATAGGGGTTTTTGGTGACTGTTCCTTTATCTGTCCTCTCTGACCCTGCGGCTCATTATTGGGTCTTTATTTCCTGCTGAGTGGGTGCCAGCCCCATAGTAAACAATCACTAAACATTTGCTGACAATTAAAAAAATAATTAAAAAGACAATTTAAGAGGATGGCAGAGTAGAGGGACGTGCGCTCACTCTCTCTTGCGAGAACAATGGAATCACAACTAACTGCTGAACAATCATTGACAGGAAGACACTGGAACTCACCAGAAAGATACCCCACATCCAAAGACAAAGGAGAAGCTGTAATGAGATGGTAGGAGGGGTGCAATCACAATAAAATCAAATCCCATAATGGCTGGGTGGGTGATGCACAAATCGGAGAACACTTATACCACAGAAGTCCACCCGCTGGAGTGAAGGTTCTGAGCCCCACATCAGGCTTCCCAACCTGGGGGTCTGACAATGGGAGGAGGAATTCCTAGAGAATCAGACTTTGAAGGCTAGCAGGATCTGATTGCAGGACTTTGACAGGACTGGGGGAAACAGAGGCTCCACTCTTGGAGGGCACACACAGAGTAGTGTGCACATTGGGACCCAGGGGAAGGAGCAGAAATCCCACAGGAGACTGAACTAGACCTACCTGCTGGTGTTGGAGGGTCTCCTGCAGAGGTGGGGGTTGGCTGTGCCTCACCATGAGGACAAGGACACTGGCAGAGAGGTTCTGGGAAGTCCTCCTTGATGTAAGTCCTCCCAGAGTCCGCCATTAGCCCCACCAAAGAGCCAGGTAGGCTTCAGTGCTGGGTCACCTCAGGCCAAGCAACCAACAGGGAGAGAACCCAGCCCCACCCATCAGCAAGCAAGCAGATTAAAGTTTTACTGAGCCCTGCCCACCAGAGCAATAACCAGTCTACCCACCACCAGTCCCTCCCATCAGGAAGCTTGCAGAAGCCTCTTAGATAGCCTCATCCACCAGAGGGCAGACAGCAGAAGCAAGAAGAACTACAATTCTGCAGTCTGTGGAAGGAAAACCACATTGACAGAAAGAAAGACAAAATGAAAAGGCAGAGGACTTTGTACCAGACGAAGGAATGAGATAACCCCCCCCCAAAAAAAAAACTAAATAAAGTGGAGATGGGCAACCTTGCAGAAAAAGAATTCAGAATAATGATAGTGAAGATGATCTAGGACCTCAGAAAAAGAATGGGGGCAAAGATAGAAAAGAGTCAAGAAATGTTTAACAAAGACCTAGAAGAATTAAAGAACAAACAAACAGAGATGAACAATACAATAACTGAAATGAAAAATACACTAGAAGGAACCAATAGCAGAAAAACTGAGGCAGAAGAACAGATAAGTGACATGGAAAACAGAATGGTGGAATTCACTGCCCCGGAACAGAGTAAAGAAGAAAGAATGAAAAGAAACGAAGACAGCCTAAGAGACCTCTGGGACAACATTAAATACAACAACATTCATATTATAGGGGTCCCAGAAGGAGAAGAGAGAGAGAAAGGACCGAGAAAATATTTGAAGAGATTATAGTTGAAAACTTCCCTAACATGGGAAAGGAAATAGCCACCCAAGTCCAGGAAGTGCAGAGAGTCCAAGCCAGGATAAACCCAAGGAGAAACATGCCAAGACACATAGTAATCAAATTGACAAAAATTAAAGACAAAGAAAAATTACCAAAAGCAACAAGGGAAAAGTGACAAATAATATACAAGGGACCTCCCATAAGGTTAACAGCTGATTTCTCAGCAGAAACTCTACAAGCCAGAAGAGAGTGGAATGATATATTTAAAGTGATGAAAGGGAAAAACCTACAACCAAGATTACTCTACCCAGCAAGGATCTCATTCAGAGTCGATGGAGAAATCAAAAGCTTTACAGACAAGCAAAAGCTAAGAGAATTCAGCACCAACAAACCAGCTCTACAACAAATGCTAATGGAACTTCTCTAAGTGGGAACACAAGAAAAGGACCTACAAAAACAAACCCATAACAATTAAGAAAATGGAATAGGAACATACATATCGATAATTACCTTAAACGTGAATGGATTAAATGGTCCAACCAAAAGACACAGGCTTGCTGAATGGATACAAAAACAAGACCCATAAATATGCAGTCTACAAGAGACCCAATTCAGACCTAGGGACACATACAGACTGAAACTGAGGGGATGGAAAAAGATATTCCATGCAAATGGAAATCAAAAGAAAGCTGGAGTAGCAATACTCATATCAGATAAAATAGACTTTAAAATAAAGAAAGTTACAGAGACAAGGAAGAACACTACATAATGATCAAAGGATCAATCTGAAAAGAAGATATGACAATTATAAATATATATGCACCCAACATAGGAGCACCTCAATACATAAGGCAACTGCTAACGGCTATAAAAGAGGAAATCGACAGTAACACAATAATAGTGAGGGACTTTAACACCTCACTTACACCAATGGACAGATCATCCAAACAGAATATTAATAAGGAAACAGAAGCTTTAAATGACACAATAGACCAGATAGAATTAATTGATATTTGTAGGACATTCCATCCAAAAACAGCATATTACACTTTCTTCTCAAGTGCACATGGAATATTCTCCAGGATTGACCACATCTTGGGTCACAAATCAAGCCTCAGTAAATTTAAGAATATTGAAATCATGTCAAACATCTTTTCCAACCAAAACGTTATGAGATTAGAAATCAGTTACAGGGGAAAGAAACATAAAAAACACAAACACCTGGAGGCTAAACAATACGTTACTAAATAACCAAGAGATCACTGAAGAAATCAAAAAATACCTAGAGA